GCTAAGTAGCAGTTCAGCAGAAAAGGACCTGGGGATTACAGTGGATGAGAAGCTGGATATGAGTCAACAGTGTGCACTTGTAGCCAAGAAGGCTAATGGCATATTAGGGTGCATTAGGAGGAACATTGCCAGCAGATCCAGAGAAGTGATTATTCCCCTTTATTCGGCTCAGGTGAGGCCACAACTGGAGTATTGTGTCCAGTTCTAGGTACCCAACTATAGAAAGGATGTGGACGCATTGGAGAGGGTCCAGCAGAGGGCGACCAAAATAATTAGGGGGCTGGAGCGCATGACCTATGAGGAGAGACTGAAAGATTTGGGTTTGTTTAGTCTGCAGAAGCGAAGAGTGAGGGGGGATTTGATAGCAGCCTTCAACTTTCTGAAGGGGGTTTCCAAAGAGGATGGAGAAAGGCTGTTCACAGTAGTGACTCATGGCAGAACAAGGAGCAATAGTCTCAAGTTGAAGCGGGGAGGTCTAGGTTGGATATTAAGAAAAACTATTTCACTAGGAGGGTGGTGAAGTACTGGAATATGTTACCTAGGGAGGTGGTGGAATCTCCATCCCTAGAGGTGTTTAAGCCTCAGCTTGACAAAGCCCTGTCTGGGTTGATTTAGTTGGGATTGGTCCTACCTTGGGCAGAGGGCTGGACTGGATGACCTCCTGAGGTCTCTTCCAGCTCTGAGTCGTGCTAAATTTGACACTTCATGGTTGATTTCCAGATAGTACAGATGCGCTGCTGTTAAAGTTGATGTGCTTGAACTCCAGGTGTCCCAATGGCCCAATGTTATGTCTTTGGCCAGCACTTTCAACTCTACTGCTCTCCCAGGTATACAGGAAAAGCCTGGGGAAATTCAGAATTTTATTTCCTATTTGGCCAGTGTGGGGAGCCCAGCTGCACCCCTCAGCAACACAGCTGGCCACGAATGCCCAGGATTGTACACAAGTTCCAGCATGGAGCATGCAGGAGATCCTGGATCTGATTTCTGTGTCTGGGGAAAGGAATCTGTGCACGCACAACTCCAAAGCAGCAGAAGAAATGCTGATATCGATGCCAAAATTACACAGGACATGGTGGAAAAGAATACACCTGGAACACCCAGCAGTGCCGTGTGAAAATAAAAACTCAGGCAGGCCTACCAAAAAACAAAGGAGGCAAATAGTCAGTCTGGGTCACAGCTGAAATCATGCCACTTCCATGAATACCTAGTTACTGTCCCATAGTTATCTGTAGATATCCCACCAGTGACTCTTTAGGCAGCATTGAGTAGCAATGAGGAAGAAATGGTAGAAGAGCAGGAGGACAACGAGGAGAATGCTCAGCGGGCAAGCGAAGGATCTGATCTCACTAAGAGCCAGGACCTTTTTTAAAAGCTTTGGAGTCAATCCCAGGACTTATTGCTTCCAGCCCCTGATGCTGGGGAGTACACTTCTGGTGAGTTTACATTTTAATCATGCTACAGTGGATAAATGTAATTGGTTTAGATAAATTCAAATTAAATAAAAGATAAATTAATGGAGATTATTAGGTCCACCAATACTTACTAGCCAGAATGGTGTGCCTACCCTCTGTTTGTCAGGGGCTGGAAATAGAAGACAGGAAAGGGCTCACTTGATAACCTGTTCTGTTCACTCCCTCCAGGGCATCTGGCATTGGCCACGGTGGGAAGACAGGATACTAGGCTAGATGGACCTTTGGTCTGACCCAGTATGGCCATTCTTAACTAAAATGTAGGCCAATCTTTCCATGCCCTGAGAGAGATGAATTTACTACAATGAGAAAAACCCCTTTCAATTCCTGTAGTAAGTGTCCACACTATAGCAGTAGACTTGTACACCCAACCTCAGTGTAAAATAATGCAAGCTACCCAGAAAATGAATATATATCTTCAATCTGTAAGAGAGAAAGAAGAGTTACAGAAGAGGACCTCTGGGGGGAAAAAAACATATAGGAGCCACTTTTGTACTTGCATTTCTGTGTGAAGTATATAGAGCAATATAAACAAGTAATTATTTGACATTAGTTAGTAGTGACTTTGCTTGTGCTTTTTACGTAGCCTAATATAAACCTCGGCAAATATCTAGATTAGTTAATGTTGTACCCACGAAGATCTATATGTACCCCAGTTGAGAACCACTACTATACATAGAAATGTAAATGAAATGTATTTATAGACTAATAGATTTATTTTTACCAGGTAAAAATAAGAAAATAGGCAACTTTTCATAGAATCACAGAACACTAAGACTATGACTACAATGGCGGCTTCTTGTGCAAGAACATCTTGCGAAAGACTTCTTGCACAAGAACGCTTGCACAAGAAAATGTCCACAGTGTCATGTGCGAGCTGTGCTTTTGCGCAAGAGCGCCCATGGCAGTGTGGATGCTCTCTTGCGCAAGAAAGCTCTGATGGCCATTTTAGCCATAGGACTTTCTTTAGCCATAGGACTTTCTTACGCAAGAAATCCCTGCCGAGTGTCCACACTGCCCTTTTGAGCAAGAGCTCCTGCGCAAGAGGGCTTACACCCGATTAAAAAAAAAAAAAAGAGCGTAGTGCTTGTGCAAGAAGCTCTCTTTTACCACGCTGTACTGTAAATTTCCTTGCGCAAGGAGGGGCGGGGGCGCCAGTGTGGATGCTCTGCAGATTCTTGCGCAAGAATGGCTGTACTTGCGCAAGAAACCGTGAGTGTAGACATAGCCTAAAACTGGAAGGGACCTTAAGAGGTCGAGTCCAGTCCTCATGGCAGAATTCAGTACCATCTAGACCATCCCTGATACATGGCTATCTAATCTGCTCTGAAACATCTTCAGAGATGGAAATTCCACAACCTCCTTAAGCAACTTATTCCATGTTTAACCACCCTGACAGTTAGGAACTTTTTCCTAACGTCCAACCTAAACCTCCCTTGCTGCAGTTTAAGCCCATTGCTTCTTGTCCTATCCTCAGAGACTAAGGAGAACAATTTTCTCCCTCCTCATTATGACACCCTCTTAGATACCTGAAAACTGCTATCATGTCCCCTCTCCAGTCTTCTCCTTTTCAAACTGAACAAGCCCAATTCTTTCAGTCTTCCTTTATATGTCATGTTCTCTAGACCTTTAATCATTCTTGCTTCTCTTCTCTGGACCTCTCCAATTTCTCTACATCTTTCTTGAAATGTGGTGCCCAGAACTGGACACAATACTCCAATTGAGACCTAATCAAAGTAGAGTGGAAGAATGACTTTTCAAGTCTTGCTCACAAGACTCCTGTTTTCAGGAATAGTGTTATGTGACACTTGTATGTTTGTCTGATTTTGTAAGTAAGTAGTTTGTAAGTAGTAGTAAGTGAGGTGAAACGTGGGAATATGCAAGACAAATCATATTCTCAAAAGACATAAAATAGTCTGGGAAGGTTGATAGCCCTGACTGCAGAATAATCTAAGGCTGTTGAGTAGCAAGTAAATGACTAATCGTATACTTGACACAATTTGTATTGAGTACACGATTAGTTGATAAGGGGCAGCTGCAGCTCTGCAGCTTAAATGTAGTAGGAACCAGGCATGCAGGCAGCCCAGCTCCCACGCTGCGCCTCTGCCTTTTAAATGTAGTAATAGCCAGGTGACTCTTACTACATTTTAAAAAACAAACAGGACCATGTAGCATTTTAAAGACTAACAAGATGGTTTGTTAGGTGATGAGCTTTCGCGGGCCAGGTTTAAAAAGGTAGCGCTGTTGCCCTGTCTCCCCACCCCCAAAGAGGCTGCTGGGGCAAACCGGCTTTTAAGCCGGCCAGAGCCTTAGCGCGGAGCCGGGCTGAGGGTCGGCGGGGCGCACTTGGGGCAAGGCGCAGAGGCCTCGCTGCCCCCACAAAGCGCCGGGGGCCCTGCCCGCGCTGCGGGGCTAACTGTGACCGAGGGAGATCGGAAACCCCGCCCGGAGACGCTCCCCGGCCCTTACTTGTGTCCAGGGCGATCCTCAGCATCACCTGGCACTTGTGGTTGAAGGTGAAGAGGCTGGTGGTCAGGAAGCTGAGCTTGGCCTCGCTGTGCCGCTCCGGGAAGAGCCGGTAGCCGAAATCCTCCCCCTCAGCCACCTCCGGCGGCGGCTCGCTGCGATCCATGGGCCCGGACGCTCACAGGCTGCGGCTCCGGGACACGGCCCCGGACCGGCTACGACCGTTCGCGGGCAAAGGTTACCCCCAGCCCCGCCCCGCCAATCGCAAAGCCCGCAGCGCATCACGTGCTGCCGCA